GAGCCCTGTTCTCTGTCTAGATGACAATTAGAACTCTTAAGAGGTCATATTATGCAAAAAAAATCACTGAATCACAGTCTTATATAGTTCACAAGGCAACAATTTCATCATTTTCTTCTTCTTCCCTCCACACCCCTCCACATCCACTTGTTCAAAATGGTCATTCAGAAGATAAAGGATCCGTTTCTTTCTTATATCTTAATATTTTCCAAAGGTCAGTCATTACAGTATGGGTGAAACATTCAGGTTAATAATCAAAATAATCCTGAAGAACCAAGTACTGAACTTTCATAAAACCTCCTTCAGATGAGTTCACCATTTCCATTACAAACCTTTGAATTCCGATTGTCCAGATGATTGAGTAATCACCTTAGAATCATTATCCCAAGATATCTGAAGTAGTTTCTCAATGAATTTGTCCACTGACTTCAACTTCCTGAGTTACTAAGGTGTATTCAGCTGATGGATATCCTCGAAATAAAATGGTGCCAGTCAGTGAAGCGTCTGAAGTAATGGGTACTGGGATCGAGCCCCAGTGGGGAAAACATCGCGCACTGGGATCCAGAAACCTCCGGCTGACAAGTCTCAAGTAGGACGAAACGTTCACTTTGGATCCCACTGCTAGCCAACCCGAAGTAGATTACAAAATATCCAGTATTTGGGTAGTACTGAGGCATCCCTATAGGAGCTCATCTTTCAACAGAGGCCAACTAATTCAACCCAGGGTAGCAACGGAAGACTACAAGTATTAAAGAATAACAACAATTGATACACTTTGCACAAGAGATGGCTGTCACACTTCAGTGACCTAGTGAGAAATACTTTGACGCTTCAGGCGGTGGGCACTGGCTTGGAGTCTCAGATGGAGCACTATCACTTTCTGAGGCGCAGATATATCCTGATGACGAGTTTCAAATCAAAGGAAACACGTGTCATATGTTCCACTACTAGCCACCACATAGACTATAACATAAATGACATCCTCTTACTGTTTAACGTTCAATCCTTCTTGTTCTTTTCAAACTTATCAAGGGAATTGTTTTTATCAAACCGTAACGAATCCACCTCCAGAGTGAAGAACACCTACTGCATATCTAGAATCTGGTAGCAGGTTGGAAGGAATACCACAGACATGAAATTACAAACGACTTGGTCATTATTGGTCAGTAATATTTCTAAGTTAGCATTCCTCACTGGCTGATATCAGCTGGAAAACCACTGAAAACCTCAAAGTACTGAACACCTGTTTCATTCTAGTATGAGATTCATCAACACTATGTTCCCATAACCCCGTGGAAGATCTGGCTGATCCCCTTCAAGTTCCCTGGTGAATGCGTTGAACATCTGGCCAATAGGTGGAAATGCAATGGCCCATAGTTTCCTACCTCTTTCGATTTGTTATATATGGCAGAATAGCAGATGAGTTCTACCGAGGAGTAGCATACTAGGACGAAACACCTGTTCAGCTCTGCGAAATATCAACGTGGATCATACACTTTGTAAATCATTTGCACTTTAAAGTAAATCGGTTCATGCAAGTCAACTAGCCAGATGTCGGTGATCTAAACTAATCCAGCTTTGTGAGATGAATTTATCCGAACATACGGCTGATGAGCCTGGTTGGCCTTAAAAGAGCGAAACAACTGTCCAATGTTTAGATTACTCTAATCTGATTAGTGAAATACTGGTTACTAATTATTCAAGTAGTAGTATCTTTAAGCATTCTAGTCTACACACTATATATTGAAATATTCAGGTACCTTCTCAAGCATCTTCAACTAATTCAGTAAAATCAGTCAAAAAGGATGTTTATTTTTGAGGTGATACACAACAGACTTCGTTAACATTTAAACACATGGATTTAAGCATAGTTACTACAGTTTTGAAAAAGATTAGTAAGACATAATGACATGTCTTCCTCTTCTATCTTGTGTAGGGAACTATGGGTCATTGATTCAGCCAATAGGTTACCAACGTCTATACAAACAGACAGTTTCATTAGTTCTACTATAACAGGTATAATTCATCGCTTGCAGTTAGAAAGGGGACGTGATGACTTTGTTGTACTTCGATATCTAGATTCGATTCTCAACATTACATATCCACTTGAAACCAAAGAATAAAATGGAGATTTGATGTATTACTTATTGACAGGTGAAACATGTACAGAATGGGAAAATACAGTTTTCCCCAAGTGAAGGTTATAAGCAATGAACTTTCCTTTGGTTTTATTCTCATATTTCTCGTCAGTTGGAACACCTAACCCGTACCAGAAATAAACATGAAAGGCATAAAATACTTCAGTGACTAAGTCGTATCTCAACTCTTGAACTGACCTCCTAAATGATACTAGTAATTAGTTTTACATCAATCTTCAACCATTCAGCGATTTTAGAGGTTGTATTCATTAAAATGAGGAATAGATTTTCAGCCAAAAACCAAATACATTGACTTTTCTCACAGCTGAACTACTGCTTGACTGTGGTGTCCATAGGGTTTGCACTGGGAAATACCTTTTAACCAACATGATGAACTAGTGAAATATACTACTGCTAAATCATTTGAGTAGTTGACAAGCTGTCATACCCTTCTGTCGATTTGGCTAGGTAGATCAAAGTGATGTAAGTATCGAACGGCTGTTTCATTCACTCGGAGTTGATCTCATCATCAATATCCCGGCATAAATTCACTTCATAGTACCGAATTACTTCATACCAAGTGAATCTGGTTAGCTGACTATTACTCAACTGTAATAAATGTCAACATGGATTGTGCTATTTTTAAATCATTTACAAACTAATCAGTTAGCCAAATTCATATGAGTTCAGTCCCTCCTGGCACACCACTGATGAGCTGTGCTCCAAACGAGCGAAACGGCCGTCTGGTATCTAGATCACTTTGATTTGGCTGGTGAAAGACTACAGAATATCCTGACTAGTTTGCTTACTACTCAAATTATTCAGTAGTAATAAGTGAATTGATTTACTGAATTACAAAATGTTTGCTCTGAATCAAACTTCCAAGTAGATTGTGAAAAACAAACACAGCTCGAACGACTACATCAAGTCAGTCGACCTCAATTTAACACAGAAAAGTAAATGAGCTACTCTTGTCCAATTAATTAGCGTTACACCCTGAATACACCCAAAGTTAGTAAAATCGACCTATTAACTAATCAACGAGTATGTTTTAACCATGATTTTTTAATTACTAACTACAAACAATTATGAGATATATAACTGATAGACTGCTGGAGAAGTGATCGATTTTCTCAGCTGATTGCTTCATGGGTCGATTGTAGCTAAAAAGAGAACCACTAAACAACTCTTTTCCCCAATATACAGAAGTCTACAGCAGTGTGGGTATATAAGTCCCCTCCATCCCGCATCCAACAAGAAGCTGTTGGGTTTTACTGACAGCATAGTACCATTCAGTCACCAAACTGGAGTTTTTCAACCTCTTTTGATCACTGTCACATCGTATCATCGGTTGGTACTCCTTATTACACCTCGAGAAATCCACTGGGAAACGCTACTGATGAGTTCCAGCACGGACTGAAACATTTGCCCCAGTATATTGTGGTGAGTGAATCCCATCCAGCCCCCTTCCTTTGATTAAAGTGACAATCAAGAACATTAACTGTCAGTCTTAACATTTATGTTTTAGTAGACACTCCTATATAGTCGTCAGGCGCGAAATATACATCACTGTATTCTAAGTTAATGGTCTGTAATCAATAGTCTGCCATTGTTACTTTACCCACTGATGTTTATTAAAATCCGGTGTTTGATCTACTAAACTTTTGCTGAGTTGTCTATCTAACTAACTGAAGTTCTGATAGACGTTAGTTGGATGGAAGCAATTGGCAAGCAACTCTTGTTTGACCTACGTTGCGTGCTTACTGTAACTCGTCAACAACGCGTATCTGCAACCTTGACGAAACTGCTGTCTCACCTGAGATTTGGATCCACGTCACCCAATGTGGTAGTCAGCGACGTCACTCCTTAGCTATTCGGATCATGACTGACCTCCTGTAGAACTGGACTAGGTATATTGATTGGTCACTTGAGGGCAACCAAATTCATGTTGTCTAGACCTAAATGCTGGTCGAATTCCAACGATCAGTTTGCAATATAGCCACCGTGCAAGGCTACTCATGTGACATGACTTCGAATCTTAGGCAGGAGATCAGTCCCATCGAGGCTGCAGATACGCCTTGCTGACGAGTGCCAACAAGCATACAGCCTACGTTGAGGTTGTCTAACATCTGTTAAAGTGCATCGCGATGCTGAGCTGCCTGAAATTCTTCATAGAACATATTTAGTAGGTAGACCACAGCTGCCCCCCCCCCCCTACATCCTACACTAAACTGAATTATACATACGAATTAGTCGCCAGATGTCACTTACTAAAAACAGTTGTTGCCCGTTACCTAGTCAATTCCCTGAAAAGGGTACCCCTGAGAACCACAACCAAGGTTTCATCCTGTTTCAATTACATCACCCGAAATAACTTATTGGGGCCAAGGAGAAGCTACAACGATGAATTAGATTATGAGTCTCTTAATAAGAAAAATAATTTGTAAGTGAAGCATTTGATAAATTTCTGAAAGGATACATATCAGAAGTTTATAATAGTCACTGGTAGATGAGTCACCTTAATTTTATACTAAGCCAGAATTCTCCTACACTATGCGTCACCGGCGTCTACCTTCCTCCAGATGGTGGTAGTGTTGCACTTCACCTTCCAATGATGTACGTTGTGGAAGAAATAGAAAAGCTTCATGAAATGTTAAATCATAAGCTCAATTCCTTGATAAAATAAAGACCAGCAGATAAGATACTAACCAATCACCTCCAAGTTATCTGCTTGACGTTCTACCCACTGAATAGCTCACTCACTCTAGACATTTTGAAGATGCTTATTTCAATCGTGTTAAGATAAAAGTTGATATCACCTGTATGTTTACTAGTCAAAGGGAAATCAAATGATCAACTTACCTCAATTAATTCAACTTCCCGAAAACCAATAGAATATTCTCTTCTATCGACAATATTTAAGCCTTCAGTTAGATAAAGTATTAGTGTATATAGATATGGTCCATTGTGAACACCATTTGGCCACCATTGTTTAACATTGGAGTGATTACGTAATACCTCCATAGTGATTAACTTTTCTCTGGATGTAAAACATTTTCTACCAAATACATTTAATTCTTTAATATATGAAGAAATACAACCTTTCAATTGATGATTATGTAATCGGTCATTTCTTATCACCTCTATATTAATTTTACTACTCCATACTGTCTTTACTTGTTCAGTAGTTATTGAATAAGCATAGAATTTGAATAGTTCACCAAATCGTAAATTAAAAGGTGTAATCAACAATTTTGGTGGTATCCAAAATCCTTGAATTGGTAAACTTAATCCCCAATCCCAACCAAAAATTGACTGTGTTGTTCTTATAAGATTAATATAACATTCACCATGAAATTGTTTTGGCCAACAAAATGGTAATGGTATTGATTTTTTCATTCTTTTCAAAAATTCTGCTCTTTTCTTTGCGATCAATACACTTGATATACATTTTAATTGTAATTTATTTACATTTTTTATATTTAAAAAATTATTGATTTCCCATGTATATGATAAAAAACTATTCTGTGTTATTCCTAAAACATGATTATTTAAGATTATTTCACAAAATGTATCAATATTATCCAAGTATAATTCAATAGTATATTTGTTTAAATCATACTGTTCAATTGTGAATGTTTTAGTAAATGTCCAATTGTCATATCCAATCCATTTCAAATGGACATCATTATAATCAACTAATGGATCATTTTTTCTATCTCTTGATAATAACCATTTTACACTATAACTATCTAAACCATAAGTTGTATAAATTTGTTTTGATGTGGTTTGATTTGATATCATCCAATTTCCTGTTAAAGGTAGCCATCTTTGTGGTGTATTCACAATAGATAAAATTGTTGATTGACATACTGATAATAAGAAAATTGAAAATTGAATAATCATTTAAAATGAATGTGGCGCTTATTTTGAACAGTCTCACTAAGATCAAAATGAACACATTGTGTGTCGATTCATATTCCATATAAAGTATACATTTAAATAAGTTTTCATTAATAATAGGCTTGAGTGAAATTTGTTTATCGATTTTGTCTGTTGTCTATTGATAGTTTTATTGTCCTGTAACAATATGATTAGTTGAAAATACGGTCACCTGATTTGTTATCTAACCATTCGGTTAGTTCAAATCTATGTATTCAATTAAACATTGAACAGTGTGGTATAATTATTGTTTCAAATGAATGATCAGCTAGCAAAATCATACGATTCACTTTGATATTCGTCACAAGATTCAGTGATTAATCAATATTATTGTGAGGACCAGGTAGTAAAGCAGTAAGATGAGAGTTAGAGAAAGCGATGAACATCGGTCAAAAGCAGTAGAAGAAGAGAAGAAAGAGGGATGAGGGAATCCTGAATTCAGTATAATGGTTAAGATGGCAATGAAGTGTCGATATATCTGCAGCAGTAATATCGATACTGGGCCATTTCTTCACCTACAGCCTCCAATCATGAGTTACGTTTATCATATGGACCATCACTGGGTAGCCTACATGACTGAGACCGTTAGTCAAGGTCTACATACAGTGACGCCATACTTTACTGTGACTGATCCGAACCTTTTTCCATCTTGACTTAAAAGTCATCTTACTTAAAACTTAACTGGTAACATCATTGTATAGCTGAATTCAAGAGCTCTCAGTTGACGCCTCATTGATTTATCTATGATTCACAGCTCGGAAATAATTTCATATTAGGTGAAATCAGTTATTGCCTTGTGGTGCGTTGTGGTCAGGCCATTAACTTATTTACGGAGATGGATTACATCGCCTCAAATATATACAGACAACAAATAGCAAACTTTGTGTCACTGTGTTAGTGGTTGGGATGTCCGTATTGCATGGCTCATCGTACGGACGGATTAAGTATACGAGACTGATTGGGCGAGTATATTGGAGACCAATCACGTACAAGGTCACTGTTAACACTGAATCAAACAATGACAACCAGACAAAATTAAACTCAGTAATACAACAGTTTTCAACTGTCTAATGGATCTGTGATGTTTTCTAGATGGTTTCCAATGAAAATCCAGTTGGCGCCAGAGTTAAACTACTGAAAAACTACTCATTTTTGAGAAACATTGAAGTGGACCATGCAACAAATGCATCAATAATTGATCTGAATAATTTGGCACTCTGAGCTGAATTTATCTGCCTGTATAGCTGATGAGGTTTGTCTCGAACGCGCGAAGCAACATTTCGGTGTTTATGTGTCTGATCGATAGGTGGCACTTCCTCAGTTCTCTTCGCAATCTATCGGACTAGCTAGCAGTAAACCTCCGATCTCAGAACTTGGAGGAGTAGATTTTTTTCTCTGAGAGAAGGTGAACTTCCTCAAGGTCATAAGCTCACTTGGAAAACTTCTACTAATACTGAAGTTAACAACTAGATGAGTTACTATCTGATGACTATTTCATGTATTATTCACTTCTAAGAATTAGAAAATTACCAAGTCGGATATGCGGACAAATACTTAACTATGGCATTTCACAGAGATCGCACTACATCGTGAACTGATATAAGTAGGAAATGTGAACCACTGGCTCAGTGGTAACGTGTTGGCCGTGGAACCAGAATGTCCTGGGTTCGATCCCTGGGGGTTGTGGGTGAGCACTGCTGAAGGGTTTCGTCTTAGGACGAAACAGCTATCCAGTGCTTCCAAACTTCCATTGTTTCCCCAACTAATTCCCAAATTGAATTACCATTTCTCTTAGATTAATTATCACTTAATCATGTATACTTGGTGCTTCCTAGTCCACCCTACACTTCCCACATCCCCTTCCAGCTTCTTATTTCCTCTCATACTTTATTTTTATGGGTAAACATGAGGTTTATCATCGGCTATTCGACCTGTTTTTTATAACATTAACTAGGTCGTTTAATGACTGAAGGAAATTAGCTGCCAGCTTAGAGAGAGAGAGAGGGAGTTAATTATCTCTTGTTTGTATGTATGTGTGTATGTGATGATGGTGTCACTGTGCTTTTATTTGCGGCTGAGTTACTGTGCACGCGTTAATAAGACATGGTACTTCTTTTAAGAGTGTAGTAACATAAGCATACTTCAGCATTATTATCACTTGCATTACTTTCAAGGGTTGTCAAAATGTAACTCTACCTAACAACACCATATGATTTCTGAAATGACCAGACACTAAGTGAAGACATAGGTTGATGATTAAATGTATCTGTTTTCATGAATATAAAAAAAGTTATTTATATACACATCAATTTTCTGCTGTCAACTGGTTTATCACTTCATTTGGTTAGGGTGGGGGTGGTTGTTGTTGATGGTAATGTAGCATTTCTAAGTTTATCTGCAAGCGAAATAGATTTTCCTTATCGGCTAACAGTAATCAGTATGGAAACCATTTATCAGTTTATCTCTTTCCAATTAACTCTATTAAATGTTTACACGAATGTCTTCCCTTGTTTCCTATTCCTTTACAAAAGTAATGGATAGTATGAGAAAAAAATATGATTGGTTGATTACATATAGTGTAGATATTTTAAACACTTTTCAGCTAAAGTAACATCGAATGAAATTCCTCAGACAGGTGTTAAAATTAACTGGCTAACTAATCAACTCGAAACCCTTAACCTACTTTTCTATAAAAAATGTGCTACAAATTAGTAACTATGGTAGTATTATTATTTTTATTATTGTTATTCTAATCATCATCATCATCATTATCTTTGGCCCATAAAAACTCTTTTACCATCATTTCGCCTTCATTTACTGTGATTTCATGAGGAAAGATAAGTGTACAGTTATGATTATTTATCTTCTTCTACTAAAGGCTTATGTTTTAAAAATAAATACATACTGAGAGTGCATACATACGCACACGCACACGCACATGCACGTATGCACATACATACATTCTACGTATTATATATTCAGCTTATTTTGAATTTGAAATGTTGCGCTAATCATAAAGTTATTTATAGTTGATTTAAACAAAAAGTGTTGAACATGTCAGGTCATAAAGTCAATGACGGCTTATCATACATTATAGTAGTGATTTGAAAAGGCATAAATTTAAACGCGATAAATGAGTCATGCTGATGTGTGTAATTTAATCAATACTTGGTTATGTATAATATTTCGGTGTTCATTCACAGAGTATGTCAATTAATTATTGACTTGATTGTATATATTTTTAATTAACAATATCAGTGAGTAATAAATCTTAATTAAATTATGATACATCCACCTCATGTTAGGTAATGAATGTTGTAATGACTAATAATTGTGCATACTTTATGCATGAATTTATTTTTCTACCTATCACTTACATTTGACCTTGTTTAGTTATAATTAATAATAATGATTCATACTTAACTAAAAGTTCACGGTTATAAAAATTGTCTTGTAGATATAACACAACAGATACAAATCGAAAGTTGTTATTCATCGTCGACTGACATCAATTGGAGGAACAAAAGAAACCTGGGAGCACTGGACAGCTGTTTTGTCCTAGTATGGGACTCCTCAACAGTGCGTACCCAGGACCCCGCCAGGGATCGAACCCGCGACCTTCAAGTTCCGCGGCCAGCGCGTTACCATTGAGCCAGTATGTCATTTCAACTGGAAACTTGGGTTTACGTAAAATAATCAAGTAATCTTTAGAGTCATCTCATCTAGTTAGATGGTTGATGCATGTATTAGGCATGGTAACTCACTGTTTACCTTAAGCTTTAATACTCAGAAATGAGCATTGAATCATGGAATTTATATAATAGCTAGTTGAAGTTATGATTGGAAGTTTTAACTATATGTCTGTAAAGTATTTACAAGAAAGCTAGAGTAAATAAATACCGAGTGGAAGCGATATAGCTCAAACTAATCACTATGAGATAGATGAAAGGATATTTCATTTCTTTCAAGTAGTAAAATTTAACTTCTTTCTCCTCCTTTACCATTTTCACTTTTTTTTCTAAATGTTGATGTTGTTGGCCTCTTAATTTACATATTTCCCCTCTTCAACTTTTGTTTTAATATACTCATTTGAATTGTAGCAACTTGGACCGATATATTATCATGTCAAGCCTTATATATTCTATATTTATTCTTTTCTATGCCTCGGTTTTCCGAACAATGACACTGTAGGTATTCTTATGTCTTCAGGGTTGGCAGTACTGTCTTGAAAATTAAAACACTTATGATCTGAATTTGATTGGATTGGAGTTATCCTTCCCATATAATGTTATTATGCTCAGAAGCGACAATCCTCTGATCAGTCAAGTTGATTGTGAGAAGGAATACTCACTGATGGCGTTGGATAATGATTTTGTTATATTGCGAAGGGATAAAACTACAAACATTTGAACCATCGGATTCCAACTTCAAGATCTGATGATTTTGGTCTAAATTCCTTACAGGAGGCATGATTGCACAGTATGAAACAGCTATTCTATACTTGTAGGTTTCCGGTGATTCTTCAGCTGTCTGTCAGTCTGTGATGAATACTAACTTGAAGAAAAACAATCATGGATTTTATTCACATCGAATGATAAGTATTGCAGAAGAATAGAAACAGGTGGATTTTTATGACATTAACGCCAGCACTTTTGCTAGCTACACAAATCATAGTTCCATGGCATTGTAATATGTCATTATTTCGACGTATTCAGCGACTTCTGCTTTTACTTTCGATTTCAAATTCATCTGAGAGAAAATGCAGCGGGAAACTACAGGTACCAAACAATAACAACTGGTACCCGCTGCGTAAGAATTGGCTCTCGTCCACCAGAAGCCAAGTAGAGTTTAAAGCGATGGGTACTGGGTTGCAGTTTCAGCGGGGACAGCATCATTCACTGGTATGCAGGCACATCCAACTGACTAGTCCCAACTGGGATGAAACTCACGTTCTAGATTCCATGGCTAGGTATAACATCATGGATATCCGGAAGGATTGAGGCATCCACGTGGGAACTCATCTTCAAACAGAGGTTCAACAGTTCTGCCC